CGTGGAGGTTGGTTCAACATGAGCAACTACGACCTTATCACATCACTTGTGATAAAGGGCCAACATGGTGTTGAGGACTTCTCCGAAATGTACCGTCGCCATCCTCAAGCAAGCACTTATTGGAACGACAAACGTGTCGACATGAGCAAGATTGAGATACCCTGCTTCATTACAGGTTCCGACTATAGCCAAATCCACACCATGGGCGCGATCCGAGGATGGTTAGAGGCCAAATCAGAGAAGAAATGGATCAAATGGAGCGGATACCAGGAATGGTACGAGTTGTATGCGGTGCCAGAGAGCTATAAAGAACTCAAGGTAAGCCGGTAACATGATCATCAGCCAATTCCAGTGATACTAATTACCTATAGGAATTCTTTGACCGATATCTCAAGGGTATCGATAATAACTGGGAGGCAACCCCTAAGGTTCGCTGGGCAACGCTTCCGTTCGGAGACAGCCCTGTGAAGCATGATATTGTGCTTCCCGACTTCCCCGTGCCCGATACCAATTATCGAACATTCTACCTTGGACCAGACTCACTCTTACTGGAAACTGTGCCAGAATCTGAAGGAACATCCACCCACAACTCGGAGGATCGATGGTCAATATCAAAGTTCAGATACACCTTTGACAAGGCATCTCGACTTATTGGACTTCCTAAAGCAGAGCTCTTCATGAGCTGCGATGCATTGGATGACCTGGTTGTGTTTGTTCAACTACGGAAGCTTGACAAGGCAGGAAGAGAATTGAGCCAGCTCCAATTTCCATTAAGTCGAGCTCCCGTTAACTCCATTTTCGAAATGTCAGAGACCGAACGTTCGAGCTTGACTTTGCACAACGGCTCGATAGGAATATTGCGTGCTTCTCAGCGGAAGATTGATTCGGCGCTTTCTATGCACCCGCAATATCCATTCCATCCTCACGATGAGGTACGAAAAGTTCCCAATGGTGAAGTCGTGAAGCTAGAGATTGGCATATGGGCAATGGGTGTCGATTATGAAGAAGGGGAAAGCATCCAGGTTGATATCTTGGGGCAGTTTCCTGGCTACACCACTCAAACGGACGCATTCTCTAAGCCAAGGCCTGAATACGAAAAGAATAAGGGTCAGCATGTTGTTCACTTTGGTGGAAAGTATCCTAGCAAGGTGGTTCTGCCTTTTGTGCCGATCTCGAGCTAGCTTTTAGATGCGCTCAAATTTGTCTAAAAACGTAGAGGTAGTCATTTATTGAATTTCTCAATAATTTACATATTAGATAACACAATCTTAAGACTCAATACTTATGATAACTTCTGATGTCCAGTCAACAATCACACACTGTCTAGTATCGACGTGTTCGTCGCACAAAATCGACATTTATGCCACTTGACACTGAAAGTAAAGAACTACAGTGGCAACCTGACTCGCCCTCGCCCTCAGGAATAACTCAAGAGGGGAAACCCCTTCAGAGTTGCTGCAGCATTTCTTTTCAACTTTTGGACTAGATTGTTTCCCAAAGCCTCTCTATTCATCATGTTTCCGGCACGGGAAGACACAACCGTCCTGTGTTAGTGCCCCGCACAACATCCTTCGGTTCGGCAAACACATCTCCAATAGTTTCATTTCGGTTCGGAATCTTTCTCCTGTTTACCTCCAGCACCTTCGAGGACCGGCATTGTCATTAACCAGTTTCCAATTGGAAGAGTACCGCAGCACATCCTAGGCAGGTGGAGACCAACATGTTTATAATGAATAATAGGACTGTCATAAATTGCCAAATGCGTCACACTTAATGTCACAAGTTGGTAGTCATTGCACTGCTTTTGAGTATCGTTTTATTGCCAAAGCAAACAACACAAAATGAAGATTGTCATCGTCGGCGGCGGGATCGCTGGTCTATCGGCAGTAAGTCGAAATCGCCTTTCTGCCAACAACCAATGTCTGTTGCATGCAGTTACTTACCTACAAGTTTAGGCGATTGCGTTGCGGTCAGCTCGTCGCAGCATCATTGTTCTGGAGAAATCTCAAATGCTGAAAGAGACCGGAGCTCTTATTTCCCTCCAGCCCAACGCAAGCAAGATTGTTTCCTCATGGGACATCGATTCCTTTTTGGCACCATCCGGTCCCATGGTTGACAAAGCTTTTCGACTGTTCGACAAGACGGGAAAGCTAGAGCGAGAAATCAAGCTTGATTTCGCGGAGTTTGGCGCCGACCGCATTCTATATCACCGACAGGATCTTCATACTGCCCTAAGGAATGCAGCCACGAGCCCAGATCTGCCTGGGAAGCCGGCCGAGATTCGCATTGCAAGCGCAGTAACAGACTGCAACGCTGATGAGGGTATTGTCACCATTAATGGGAATGAAAAGATCCAGGCAGATGTCATAGTTGGCGCTGATGGTATTCGCTCCGTGGTTCGCAAGTTTCTTGTCGGTGATGGTTTCAACGCAGTGCCAACCGGTATTTCCGCATACAGAATGCTCGTTCCGATCGAGGCTCTCAAGAGCATTCAAATTCCCGAGGGTGCTTTCGAGCCTTCTGAAGCAGTAACCTCCATGATCGTGGGCCACGACCGTCGGGTCATTATGGGGCCAGGCCGCAATTCCACAGTGTTTGGAATAGTTGCTCTAGTTCCTGATTCTCTAACCCAAGGGCAGTCGAGTCCTGATTCATGGGTAAATGAGGGTAGCAGAGGAGCAGTTCTCGATGCTTTCCAAGACTTCCCGTCGTGGCTTCTGGAGATCTTCAAGCGCGCGCCAGACCATGCGCTCTGGCAGCTTCGTGATATTGACCCTTTACCTACATGGGTTCAAGGCCGAACTCTGTTGATTGGGGATGCCGCTCACGCAATGCTCCCCACTCAAGGTCAGGGAGCATCTCAAGCTATTGAGGATGCTGAGGCGCTGAACGCCTTTCTTGGAGATTTGCCGGATGATGCCACAAAAGAAGACGTTAACCAAGCGTTGGTCAGAGTATTTGAGTCCCGAATTAGCCGCGCGAGCTTGATCCAAAAGTACAGCCGCGAGCAAGCGAGGCCAGGAACAGACGGCGAGTCCAAGAAGGTAAAATTAGACCCAAGAGAATTCATGAAATTCAATTGTGATTACAGCGGTGCAGAGGACTGGATAAATAGGGTGAAGGAAGGCACTGTTAATTTATAAACAATTGTTACTAAATCCCAATAGAATCAGATGTTTACTCGTTCTTCCAATACTTGCCTGAAGTTAAGCTCAAGCAATTCGAGGACCCATGAGGAGAACTATAATGGGCGGTAACCAATGGTCTAGTTGTCTCTCTAACAAGCTGAGCGACTCCCTAAACACTCCCCCTGAACTCTAGAGCATGCCTATCAAACAAAACCTTTCTTACTGATTTTGAGGGAATTGCCAAGCCGAAAATCCTCACTTACGGTACAGCATCCAACGATACTATCGAGCCACAGGTGACGAAGGCTAGCATCATCGAGAATCCAGCGCAGCTGAGCGCCGTATCCAAGGTGGGCAGGGCTTTTTTACGTTCCCTCGTCCGTTTACCCAATATCGAAATGGACGCCATCGCCGCCGCGTTTTTATACTAGGTTATCAACGGATTTGAAAAGGACACGCTTCTGAATAACTGGTCTGTATTGGGGAGGCTCGTCTTGCCTTTCAGCGGGTACATGGGGCTAATAAAACCCACCACCCTCGACAGACTAATAAATACTAAATACTAGTGCCCTACATCTGTCTTGAGTGTAATATATGCAGGAAGCAAAATCAGGTTCACTCGCCAAGCTTCTTAGTGGTTCCCATCAACCATCCTAAAGTGCCTCAACTTACACCTGCTGTGAATAATACCGCAGATAGACTAAAATCTAGAGACCGAGTGTTGCACTATGGCTATGATTAGGCTTTTCCTTCTAGCGGCATGGTTATTTCGCACCCAAAAAGAACCCTAAAACTGTGCATGAATCGCCGTTCTAGCGCCCTACAATCATCTGTTTAGGTGTCATGTCTTCTCACCTAGACTCGCCCTATCTTTGCCCTAAACCATTTAGCTCTTTCTGAAAAGGGAGATTCCTCAACTGCTTACCACTGTTAGTCGCTATCGTGTGTGCGGGGGTCATCCAGAGCTTAGAAAAAAGCGACCGCGACTCATACATTTTCCCCGCCAGCCGGTCCAGGCTGGGAATAAAAACGCGCAACGGTCAAGCTAGAAAATAAACTAGCACATCTCACGTGGTCTTGACAAGTAACATGCCACCATCTTTCAGGAACCGCCAACATCCTCGAGGAGGCAAGCGTGTAGTCTTGGGGGGTGGGGACTTGAAACTGGAACGCTCCGGATCGTCCCTGGGAGGAAGGCGAACGGCCGGGCCATGTTTCTCAAGCTCTAACAAAAAGGATCAGCAAGGCGTGGGCCAGGCTGAACGCGCGCGTGGGTGTGGACAGGGGCCGCTTTCGCCTTTTTTTAGATGTCTGAAACAATGGGACAGGACACGGATAATCCAGCGAGCACTTCGACTGGAACAAAGACCGATGGAGGGCAATTATATTAATAAATTCTCTGTAGTTTGTTCCCAAGCCTGCAGTCGACGGCGTGGATTTCCATGTGAGGGAGAAAGTTGGCTCCTTAACCTCAACACAAAATAAATTCTCCACCACGGCTACATCCGTTGAAGTGCTTGCATGAGAATATTGACTCAGGCTATGTGGACCAGGCAGAGACTGCAGGTCCTGTTTGTCAATTCATTGGTTCTTGCCAACAAAACCTGCATATGCGTGAGAGAATGTGTCGGCGGCCAAAATGAAAAATTGAGTCACATCAGAGGGGCACCAAAGAAAGCTATCATCAAATCGAGTCACGAATGGGATCATTGTGTAATGATGCTGTTTGTTTATTTCTTTATTTTGGTTTTCATCTTTCCGTTTTCTATCACCTTAGATCATAATTCTATCGTATCCAGCGTAAAAGTACATGATCCAGCCCCTCCATAAGGCAAACTCATCCGAGCCTACCAGTGCTCAGGAGGAGAGTGTCTAAGCCTGCCAGACCTGGGGCTGGGCGGTGACGGTGACAGTAACGGTGACGGTGGCGGCACTGGCGACGTTGTCGACAGTGTTGTCGGGGACGGTGGTGGTGGCGGTGTTCTGGCCGCCGCCGGTGCCGTCCTCGAACTCCCAGGTGACCTGGGTGCGGCCAACAGAGAGGTCGGTGATCTGCTGGAAGACGCTGGGGGAGACGTCGATGGAACCGCTGACGCACTCGCCGCCGGGGCACTTGTCCCAGACCTGGGCGCGGGCAGTCTTGCCGCTGGCGTGAGTGATCTTGACCCACTTGCCACAGACGGCGGCCTTGTTGGGGTTGGCATCGTTGCCGAAGTCGAAGGAAGAGAGGGCGACGACGGCGTCGGAGTCGGCGTGGACCAGGCCACAGGCTCCCATGCCCTGGTGGAAGTAGGTCATGTCACCGGCATAGGCGGCGGCAGAGGTGGCCGAGACGGCAACGGCGAAGAGGGTCTTGAGAAGAGCAGACATTTTGATTTGAGTGTGATTGATTTGTGTGAATTGAAGTGTGAAGTGGGTTCCAAACAGGTTGAGAAGTTGCGATGCTGTCAAAGCTCAGGGTATCGTGAAAGAGTGTGTGAATGGGATTCGCTAGGAATCGTTTGTAGAGAAGGGAATGAATGAAACTGATGCTTTCAAAGCGTGCAGAAGGAGTGTTGCTTGGGTTGAAGATGAGGGATATCGATGATGGGGGGGGAACACCATCGGCCTTTATACTCGAAAATGGGACGACGGATTTCACGATGAGCTAGGCTGACAAGCCACAAAGACGCTGGTAACAAAGCGACAGTTTCAGATGCGCCCAAGTACCCTTGGCAGCGCCAGTCCAGAAGCGCCAACTTCCAGACTAAGGAGGGCGGATTCCGTGCGAGAACCCGACAGTGTGCGTGGTCAACCAGAGCGAGGCCCTGCCAGGTACCATGTGTCATTGAGAATGTCTAGATCCGTCCCGCCCGCCACATGGGTTTGGACCCTGACAGGGGTCTTTGGGCGACGACGGTGATGGGCTGCCTCTGGGGCTCTGTGCCGCTGGCCGTGGAGCGGGAGCCTCTTGGCGCTCTTGGCTTCTCGGACACTCCAGAAGAAGATGATTTTATGTGCTCATCCTTGTGGCGGGTTGAACATCCCGCACCGGGCAATCCCCCATCCCCACTGACTTGCAACAAGGAGGTTCATCCCATATCGACATGATCCTAGATGCGAGACTTGTGACAAGGAGATCCCGTGTCTTCCGGCTCATTGTGGCAACCCTAGTGTGCGATACGCCGGCCCAGCTGCTTGTCCAGGGATATGCGTGTGCCTCTTACACCGACTGCCTGCAGGACGAGAGAGAACATGAGGCGGGAATAGCAAAGCGAATGCCCAGGCCCTCACACCGACTGCATTCTCGTGGCCCACTCCACCCAGGCCGAGGCTTTTCCCTATTGACTGACTTGTCGTTTCTTTTTGTCAGGCAGCAAAAAAAGCCCTGAGTAATGGCTGGAACGTCCCGGCCTCCCAACAGCGTTGGTCGGGATCTTAGTGAGCTGATGGTACCTGAACGGCGCAGAGCTAGCTCGGATCACTTCCAAGCCGTCCAGCCAGTAATACAGGGTCTGGATGCGCGAAAAACGCTAGTCCAGGCACTGGATGTCAGCCCATCACGCAGGTGTGGTGCGGATGGAGGTCCTATTGGCCGTTGCAAACTCACCGGCTCGGGGGCTGACCCAGCAGCTATTCACAAGCCTATTCACTGCTACGCATGCTGCATGCATCCGTGGTCCATGGATGTGTTTTCAGGCACGGACAGCAAAAAGTGGCTCACTGCGTTGTCATGTCACGGCGGTTGGTCCATTGTCCGGGCAGCTCCCGCGGTCGGGTGAGAAGACGGGACAATAATTACAGCAATATTGAGCCAGCGAGTTTCAGGTTCAAGCCACTGTAGTGAGCGTGCACATCATTGGGGGGCACTGGGACATCAGAAATTCAGGATGTGGCAGTATGAACTGATTGTCCAGTAAGCTGCCACAAGCAGCCAACAGCCAAGTGACCCAACAAGAAGGTGGCCGTCAAAGCCCTCTGGGTTCGTCTTTGTCTCTTCCTGCTATTCTTGCTCACTACCCGTGCACCCGCGGGTCAAAGCTGGTTCTATCATTTGGGTGCTACGGCACAGGGGGCAGCATTCGGTTTGTTGCTTCTGAGTAAGGCCACTCCACGATTAACTTGAAACAAGGCCATTGTAGCTGGCGGTTCGCCAAGCTCCGACAGTCTCTCCATCCTCCACGTGCACCTGTCTTTATGTATTACATACGACACTACTACGGAGTAGGTGTGAGCGCTTTGCTTTCGCCCTTGACCGCGAAAACCAGATCAGTACACAGCTTATGCAGGTGTCGTTGTCGCGCGCCAAGAATCACAGCGAGGTTTTTTTTTAGCCTTTAGAAAGGCATGAAAAATGCAACAATGGGGACAAGAAGAGGGGCCATCAAGCACCATTTCGTGACATGAATGGCTGGCCTCTATGAATGAACAAGGATCCTACCTCCCCCCTTGATGCATGCGCAAAGTGTTGTCGTCTAACGCCGATCATTCAATCGAATCAATCCAATAAATTAAAGCCATGTTTGTGATACCTATGTACCCATTCTCTATCATTGTGAGCAAGGTACCAACAAATAAGCAGGCCGATCATAACCAATTAAGGAGGCTTTTTTCTTTTTTTGCCTTTGCGGCGTTTTCCGTCCCTCCTCAAACAAACCGCTCCTTGCAGATGGATGAGTGAGATGACACGACTTACGCGAAAGCTACCACTTCCTCGATACCCCTGTGCATGGCAGCACTCTTTAGAGAGGGTACAAGTTACCACGGCTTGCTTCATACTAATACATGTAATATATGTACTACACACCATCGCGGCGAGGGTATGCTGGGCCTCCATGGAGGAGATCTGCAGGGGAAACATGCTCAGGCTGGAGAGGGTGTTATGGGATTTCCCCGCTGCCGCATTACTACATTCGCAGTAAACCTACCTTGCAGCATGTGTAACAGCTAAAGTAATCGGCTCCCACAAAAGACCAGACGACGATGAACTATGGGCCGAAATGAGGATCCAGACATAGACAGGTTTACCTAGTCTAATCCGTACGGAGCACCAGTCTACTCAATTGCTCGACGGGGGCAACCAACAGAATTCCATCGATGGCCATTGTATTCGAGAGCGAGGAGACGAACACGTCATACACACATCCAAAGTCTCTGCCTGAGATGAGCCGAGTAAATTTTCCGTCACATGTATCTTTTCTTTTTCATGTATGTGCTGCGCCCTACCACCGTGCCTTTCTCGGCAGGGATTGCCTGGCATATCATTGGGCAAGAGGGTAATAAGAACGACGCCTCCATTTGCAAAATCGCCAAAGCGCGGGGGCTGAGCGAATCTCCCGGCAACACGAAGCACATTATCGAAAGCCTCTTCCCCTCGTATTACCTTTTGGCGTTGGCGCTCTCGTTTGACTTTCAGCTCCTGCGCCCTACAGCCGCTCGCTACAACAAAGCGCCGCAATGCCCTGGAAATTCATTCCTGATCCAATTAGCCGACGATTCCAAAAAGATAGCCACATCGTATATTCGCGTTGGTGGGTTTCAGGTAGTATTCACCGCCCTCAGCCCGCGTGAGAAGAGGTGCACATTCGAGGCCATGGCGCGGAAGGACTTCGTAATCAGCCCCCAGCCACTTAGAAGGAATAAGGCGTAGTTTGTGCTGCCCCCTATGTAAGATGACTACCACATCTAGACCTCAGCTTATTGTGGCAGACCTTCCTCCCCACTTGCTGAACCAATGATTTCCTGTCAGCCCAACAGATGTCCACGGGGAAGGGTAAGATGAAAGTCCGTTGTGCTGTATCTTTTGCTGTTGGAAGAGAGTGCGAAGAAATGTATACCCTACCAGACCAGTAATAGGCTAGATATAACTGAGACCAATGACGATGAACATGTGTTTTATTGTTGCCGCCCTCTTCCAGCCCATAAGCAGGTTCCGACGAAGGGGAATACGTTAGAAGAACTTCTACCTATTTCCTGAGATTTGGAGTGCTAATCCATGCATTCATGAAAGATTCGCTGAATAACGCTAAACTATTTCCTTCGGTGCCGTCCACCTAATACTCAATGAAGCCTCACTACCTGACTGTGCGTACCTTGCTGGACACTGGTCATCGACTGCTAACTCTTGGCACCCTCCTACGTAGCCCTGATTGCCCAATTCTGGATTTTTCTGGCTTATTTCCCCTCTCCCCTTTAAACTCTCAACTTTATAAAGTTACATTTGCTCGAAGTTGGTTGAAGTTTTCATCGCAGGATTTACTACCCTATACTCAACTTACGCACCTTCGCCCTTCCCTGATATGCTGTTCCTTGGATCTGATTATCACACATAGACATATTTCAATGAGCAGCTTAGCCTGGCAGTCATTAGAGGGAACCTATATATTTCTTTCAATACAGACACTTGAATATTGAAAGTAGAGCAGGCTATTGCTACGGCAAGCAATGCTCAATAACTACCTTCTTGTTCCCCGCATTGTGTACATTTCCGTAAGCAAAATACATCCAAGCGACCATTGACTGCCAACGATTATATCTTGACCGCAGAAGTTAATTTCTTTCTATGTCAATCTTCCTTCCAAAATTTTTGCGGCTTCGCCTCGCTCGCTTCGAGAAACGTGATGAGAAGCTTTTCGAGTTGTGGTTGGACTTTGTAAATATCAGAGACCTGAAATCAAAACTAACTACACCAAATTACTCTTTGCACGGCCTGCAGTGAGCGAATCATACTATATTCCGTGTCTTTCGTTGGCATACGGCAGCTGTTAAGCAGTTTGAAAATACCACATCCGAGAAGTCAAAAAGTCATAGGCGAGCACGGTGAAAAAAAGTCATAAACATAGAAAATTTAGAATTAAAGCCATCACTTCTCTAACAGTAGCAGCTTACTTATAATAATATGTGGATAATAATACATGTGCAACGCGTTCATCCCTTTAAAAAACATCGTAGGCTCATACGATCTACAGTCAGATCGCAGGCTCATAGCCCAAGTCACCAACACTTTGACGTCAACATCCAGCCTTTTCAGTTTGCCCACTACACGGACCCTCCGCCCTGCTCGGTTACGAAAGAGACCGGTCTGCGGGACCCTGGGTTTTCGATCGGCGGTGCAAGTTTGGGCTGTCGACCTGGACCCGGTCTGATTTGCCCATGCTGCTGTGAAGGTTGATGTGAGGGTTGCTGGGTAGGATGGGCTGGGGCACCGTTGCTTGCCATGTTTGCGGCCACTTCCTCGTCTATGATGACAATCATCCATATGCCGATGCTCCCGTTTACTCCCCGGAGAGGCGTGCAGTGGAGCCAGCGTGGCCTGCCGCGATCAATCTTCCCCGTGGGGTCGTGGCGCGTCGACGACAGCCAGCGCACCTTGGCAGTGACGCCTTGCTCTTCACCGAGTGCCTGGGCGAGCTGCTGCCGAATACGGCCGGATCCGCCGATACGTGACAGGAAAGGACTCTGTAGCATGCCGGGAACTCGCAGGCTCGGTGAGGCAAATAGGATCTGTAGACTTGGGGCGGGACGGACGAGGAGATAGTGCTCATATATTCCCGGCAGCCGTCCGTTGGACTTGGTGTTGAGGCCAGGGAGTGGCGTTTCGGCCGGGTACCCATTTGATGTGTCTGGGAACGTGGCTCTCGGGAGGGGGGATTGCTGAGGCGATGGGCCGCCATCTTCAAGCACAAGGTAGGGTGTATTCCAATTGGCGTCCTGTCTAGACGGTGCGTCGTATTGATCCCGCGACTGGTGCATGCCTCCGCCATAGCGCCGGACTGTCTCGAGCTCATGGCGGTTAAACATCTCACTCAATTCGCGACAAGATGCCGTGGCGTCCCTCTTGGCTTCCTCATCGACGATTCCATTTGTTCTCTCCACCCCGGAATCCTCAACATCATCTTCCTCGGTGTCGGCAATGCGCCTGAAGCCTTCGAGCTCGGTGCATTCCCGAACCAGTCCTGAAACATCAATCTGGGCACCCAGGAAGTAACGGACATTGCCTCTGGAGTCTATCAACGGCGCACAGACCAAAAGGTTCATAAAGGGAGACCCGTCACGGCGATAATTGAGGAACGTCTCGAAGTGATCCTGCCCAGCCGCAAGCCGATCTCTGATCCTTTGGATGCTGAATGGATTCGTGCCGGGGCCTTGAAGGAAGCGACAATTGCGGCCAATAACGTAATCCATGCCATATTGCGTGGTGCGATGAAACTCTGCAGATACTGGTTAGACACATTTGGGGTTTGCATTTGAACTTTGACATTACGCACCGTCTGAGGCAAGGATGATGGGATTGTCCTGTCGGGACGGATCTGTCAGGCAGAAGACCTCCGCCAATCCCTCCGACGCATTTCGAAGATGCGCGGGCATGATTCCCGTTATCCTTTGCTTGATAGACAGGCTGACGATGCCAATATATTTATGGGTGATGAACATGGGGAGCTCATCTCTTGTTAGTGCTTCAAGTGCCGCGTCGTGTTTCGCCTGGAGGCCGTCGTTCGAGGTGTCCTCAGCAACGTCGGCAGTGAACTCATGTCCGTTCAATGCCCCCAGGGCCCCCATCACCGAATTGGCATACCTTATGGCCCTCATCGCCTTCTCGCTCTCTAGATAATATTTCAGAAGGGGAACAGAATCTGGCCTTACGGTGGCAAGAAAGTGAGCAAATTGGCCGAGGAGGCGTGAGTCGGCCAATATGGTGGCCATGTGCTCCTTGGAGAAAAGGAGTTCCGATCGCCTCTCTAGCGAGTAGACGGCCTGCTCCTCATGGGACGGAGCGACAATGTCGAAGCTCCTTGGATCATACTCTTCCTCGTCTAAGGGTCGGAGATCCTCTGCTGCATATGAGCCTGCCTTGGCCTGCAGGGCTGGCAATAATGAGGTCCCAGTGGTCTCTACAGAATCCGCCATGGAATCTGCAAAGGAGACATTGGAGGCTCGGGAGGCCATGCTCCGCGGTCCCGGTGAAGAGGAGCGCGACAGAGCGTCCATCATCCGGTGGGACATTCCGTCAAACCCGTCAAAATTGAGAGACGGCTCTCGTGCGCTGAATCGCGAGTCAGTGTCTAGGCCATCTCAAGGGGGGTGAAGCTACATCGCGAGTCCTAGACGAAGGCGACGATGCAGCGACGGAAAGACAAGCGCGGGACGGCTCATCGCCCGCGGTATCACTAACATCTGATGAGCACCACTTGGGGCTCGAGGGAACATATCCTGTCTGGCGGTGAGAGACCGAGGAATCTCGGGCCCGGGCGCTACAGGCTGCTCTCTGTAGATTGGGATTGACGGTTGTGCCATTGTCTAGCTCAATATCTTGGTCGAAGTGCGATGCGAGGGAGAAGTTGTGCACATCTGCCGAGAAGATCTAGATGTATAAACACTGAGAAGGAAGGATTTCCCATGGTGGAAGCTCGGGCGGCAAGACGTCAGTCTTGGTTAGAGGGCGATCTGCACTGCCGGTGACATGGAGAGTCATTGAAGTGGCCCGAAACTCCATCACTGGCGCGGTGTAATATCGAATTAGTGGCTGTTTTGCGGTCTAGCACGGCCTGAGCGAGCCCAACTAAGCAAGGTGTGGAAAAAGAAATCATCGTCTGGGCCTGAGCTGATGCTGCTGAGCCCGATTCGCATGTCCGATGAGAGCGATGCATCTCGATCAAGCCCCCCGTCTTGGCATCTTGAGATCGGAGCTAGCATCAGGGGAACCATCCAACTTAGTTAGGGTCCCCGGAGAGCAATCTGCCGGGCCGTGTCCCCCAGCAGCAAGCTGGCAATTGACAGGCCTTGAAATATTGATCCCTGACATGGATTGATCGGACAATATTGATCATGGAGCAGAACTAGGCGCTTTCCGTGCCATCAAATTTCCAAGCGAGGGGCTAGCGCAGGTGGTTGGAGCAGGATCGGCAGCAGTTCGTGAAGCTAAGGAGTCTGCTAATTACGTGTATCTCGCCCGTCCTCCTACCGACACATTGGTTGCAGACGAGTCCGTTTCTGGGGAAAGACGCGTAAGTTCACGCTTGATTAGGTCCCGTGGGCAGCACACGTGAAAGTGAATAATTAAACCTAAATGAAAGACGTTGGTGAGATAAGAACCGAGACATAACGGTCTTAGCAAACCCGAGGCTATGATGCAGTCGCTTCGTTGACATACAGAATTTAGTGCATATGACCCTCTTCTAATTATGCACGATGGACGGTCGACGGCCACGCTAAACACCCACTTCTGATCGTCGATCTTGCATATCTTATGCCCCACGAGCTTTACCATCCTTTTCAAGTGCGCATGACGTTTCCCAAAGCCAACAACCCAGATAAGCCAACTAAACTTTGAAATGACATCGGAGCCCCGTTTCACGTTGAGAAAGGGTTCCTAAAAACCCCTCCCTACAAGATGCGAGCTTCCCATAACTGCTGGACATAGTTACCATAGTCTTCAAAGTTTAACTCCAGGAGGCTATATCTAGAAAAGCGTATCTAGATATTTATATATTTTGCCATAGCATGCCTTTACAGAGATGTTACAGAATAAGTGAAAAAGAAACACAAGACGGAATAGCAAAAAAAAAAAACAGCTAACCAAAGATCAATGCTGGAAGGATGCTTGGTTTTTGTTACCACCGCCACATTCATTCCATCATCCCGTCTCTCCTATATATGCTGCTACCATTTGTTTCATGCATCGATACAGGTCGACATATTCATTTCGTCGGTCTGGCGATCAAACCAACAACCGGATAACCTGAGTTATTGGAGGAATCGATGTTAAAAGAACTGTAGTTGTACCAAAGATACTCATAGACAAGCTCGACAACGCGGCTGCTCGCGGATCTGTCTGAAGTAGCAGGGCAGTGACTATGGCAGCCGAGTTCGACCCCAAGGTAATCCCTCTGGTAACGTAGTCGTCTACGTTAACAAGTTAGTGAACGCTTTTAGCAGACATTCGCACTTTGCAACTCGCCTTCCCGGATTCTGAGCCAAGTTAAAAGGCGTTGTCCCATCAAAACCCCCAAAATCCCACTCATGACACCCACGGATGCAACCGTGTTGACATCTCCTCCAAGATTTCGGGTTGCAGGCAACGCAAGCGCCAGCGTGATGCTCCGTGATGCCATGGCAAGAGAGCGCTGAGGCCCGATCCCGATGGCGAAACACACCGAGGGGTACGCGAAAAGTGAGCCAACAGACATCAATGCGTTAGGGATCATGATCAAAAGGAAGTGCTGTCTGAGCTCGCGCCTATATTGGTACATTGGCAGAGACAGAGCAACAATACTTGCATCCAAGGCCGTAGAAAGAATGTCCCCGGCACCGGGACGACTGGAGGTGCCGGGGTTTCCCCAGAGGTAGAGGTAGTCGACGCCGGGCTTGAACTGATGAAGCCCTGTTTGCAGACTGTCGCCGCGGCTGGCTGCTAGGGCCCAGATACCTAGAACGGTTACTAAGGCCGATACTATTACGGGGTGTAGGTATTGTCGATAGCGCGGCGGAACTCTCATTGAGATAAGATATGCCAGCACACAGAGGCTAAGATGAACAGGCATGGCATAGCCTTTTGTGTAGAAAACTGGGACGCCAATGAAGATGAATACCGCACTCCAGATAGTGAAGTTGAGATTTCTTGTAATTGAGATCGCCCAGATCTGTGCTCTTGGTAATGGAAGAGGGTCAGTAGATGGCATTGGGCTAGCAATTGCCGTGTGAGAGTTTTCCCCAGCATCAACCGTTTGAGGTATGTTCCCCGCCAAACCTCCTAGTGAAATCGAAGAGATTGAACGAATTGTGGAAGGGATTATGAGTGCCATTGGCATACGCGTTGGGCCAGTGACATGGTTGGGTCGAAAATCTTGGACAGGTGGAACTTCTTCAGGCTCCTCAATGTCCTCATCTCTTCGCGTTGCAGGAGCCCGCTGAAAGTAGTGAAGAATCCAGCGAAGGCCTTGAGTTAAATTCGCAGCGAATGTCATCATGACGACCCACCCAATCACTAAATTCGTTATTAGAGGTAATTCTGGTGCTTCTTGCTACTCTTTCAGCACTTGAATCGACTCACAGAACACGGCGATGATCTTCATTACCTCAGAAATGGCAATTGGAGGACTGGTAGGAAGCATTATAAATGCAGGAGCGAAGAAAATATTTATCCATTTCAATGCCCAATCTCCCTGGCAGCGGTTAGCTTAAGTCAATATATGAGATTGCCATGGAATCCTCTCAGTACCGGCACTTTAATAAGCCCCACGACGGCGTTCGTTGGACGCGTGCCTAGCAGAGCCTCGGAGCATAGCAGCAGAATGAAGAAAATGATCATACATGCCACGGATGGAGGAAATGATATGCCCAAAGTTGAAAAGAATATCCGCATGCCAAAACAGACGGCGAGCATCGACATGATGCCTGCTGGGACGTAGAGCCAGGAACTTCGAAGGTGGCGAGCAGACGAGGTGCCAACCTACAAACCCGGGACCAGTCAACTATCATCATTTAAGAGAAGGGGAAATGGAGAATCACTTACCACCTTGATAGCCTGCAAAGCGTCATTGACGGCTTCTAGTATTAGCGTCCCAGTCCTTCGATAAGCTACCGCCATGATGTTGAAGTCTTCAATGGGCCTATACGCTATTTGAATTTTTGTAATTGATGCCGCAATCTTCCACAAACTCATGGTTCCGAGGTAATCAAGAGCAACAGGATCCTTAGAAATGGGGCTTGTCTGCCTGCCGTTGCTTCTCAGAGGGAACGCCGAGAAGTCGTCTCGGTGAATCGGCACCTCGGAAGTAAGGATTCTGGGGAAGCGAGGCACGGCTCGAGGTTCAAGCTTCGGACATCGAATTAAAGCCTCCGGATTACGAGAAAGACAGACACTGGCCGAGTTGGCAGGCTACATAATTGGGTCGATCAATTGATTAAGATGGCTTTGCCCTGGAACTCATTCCGGACGAATGGGTGAATGTTGGAAACAGTGAGTCAAGGCCAAAGTAATGAGAAGTCTCAATGTGTGCCCAAGGTTTGGATAGCTACTTAATTGGCTATTCGTCGTGCCCATAGACCACAAACATGGGCGGTCAAGAGACCTTGAAACGGCTAATACATTTCAACATCTTTCTTCAGTATTCGCGAGTAAATCATTTAATTGTGAAAAGTTATGACCATTGTAAAATATCCTTGTGGCTCCTCATGAGAATGCAGAAAGTCTCTTGGAAGCTTTCCCCTCCAATTTAGCTACATCAACGATGGCCCTTTTATGCAAAGCCGTCCCAATCTCTCCACCCTCATCTTTCGCGACAACATCGAAAACAAAAAGCTTCCCGTCTCTCTCCCTATAAGTTGCCTCTGCGCTGACTTGTGCGTCCACGGGTGTCGGGGCAGTATGGCCAACATCAACGGTAACGCCAACAGAGAGCTCGCCAGGTGCAAGATGTGGTTGGAGGACTCTGGCGCTTGCAATCTCCATCAATTCAACCATTCTAGCCGTAGCAAACACATTGGGGAAGGAATCCTTTGGGTCTGAGGATATAGAACTCGCGAGGTCGGAGGTCGAGACTTTCAGTGAGGCAGTGGCGGTCGCACCGGGGCTTGGGCCGGCAGAGGAACTAGCCATTCTCATGAAGCGAACGGGATAGGGTAGAGGACGAAGTCGATACATCTACGAGGATGAGTTAGCCTGGCAATTAAGCCTTGACTTCAGTGAATACATACAGATAATGGTAACGTCCAGGCTAGGTCGTGTTCGTTTAGTAGAAGGACAAAGAGAAGCTCTCCTCGACGAACGGACTGGACTTATTTACACAGTTACCCTGGCTACATAATTGCACAAGGGTATAGAAAGCTCTCTGTATTATTTCTTTATAATGAAATCCCATTGGCTGCTTGTCTTCCATGCGAGCTCCGAGCTCCTGAACTTTCGGAGAACCGGACTATGCCGAGCGGAGACCGATTGAACTGGAAACTGGTCACGACAAACCCGCCGACAAAGTCTCTAGGAGAATTTCCGAGTGTTCAGATCAACCTGCCATCGATTAGGGGGGATTGAGGAATGGAATTCGCCCGGCGTCGGCCAAATGTTCCTACAGCATTAGGGCGCTACCCAAGTACCCTATATTCACTCCCCTCTTAATCTCCGAACAAAAACATTGCTGCCATGCTTCTCTACGTGGTGGAACACGGTCATAGCATCGGGATGGATTCCATTTGTGTCGTCGCGCAAAAGCCTCTGAATAGAGGGGGATTGGAAAGGGGTTCTGCGCAGTTATAAATCCCAGGATTGAGGTTCTTTACCTCTATCCGCGACTCTGTAGGCTTTGTAGGCTTTGTAGTCTTCAGTCCATATCTTGACTGAACTAGACGACCTCAGGTATACGGTATTCGTGTGCTTCACCAAGCCGACTTTATAGAATTTGATCTATAGAATACTAAACCGGTGAATTGAGGACCAAGTTACGAAGTAGTCGGTTAAGACTAGGCCGACGAAAATGACGGGGTAAGACAGTCAAGTTCGCGTCCAATTACAGTGAGGTTAACAGCCTTCAAAGCACTAACTAATTGGTTCTAGTACCCAAGGTACCTATAGCTGGGTTCACGAGAGTTGAAAGACGTCCCCGTCGGATGGTGCGAGAAATATCCATAGCCTGAGGTTATGAACCGAGAAAGGACTCGCTAGCCTTGAGCTTGGCTAAAAAGGGGTTCATATCCGTGCTGCCGGTATAGGGAAACCTTAGCCGGCCCAATTAACAGAGCAGATTAATGATTGCAATTGAATAGGGTTAACCGACCACTGGAGCAAGCCTTTGATTGACGTAATATTGGAGTAGCTGACAAAAGCATGTTTCTCTTTGGTCACCCGCACATCTGCTGGCAAGACTCCCCCTCCCCCTCAACTGGACCCCAGATAGCTAAATGGGTCGAGCGGGGTGAAAACCTGGAGAAGGCCTCCCCAAGAACCAATCAATAAGCATGTGGGCAACCTCTTACGCAGGAAAATGGATATTTGGTGGTGGGCAGTGACACTCATGTCAACCGAGACGAGGGTCGGCCCCTCCTAGCAATCCTATGCCCCAGATCTGGTTTGCCCCCAGCAAGCGAGAAGCGAAGCGAGGCGTAGTCCCCCCGTCCCCCGATCCTGAGGGCGGTTAAAAGAGAATCTAGACATGCTTTCCTCGAACCGTGCCCAGTATTACAGTTCCCCTCTTCCGAGACCTTCCCCCAATCTTCGGCCAACCGAGGGCCTCGCGCCGCAATCGGTCGTCCGCATTCCCACTAAACGGATACGATGTCTCTGCCCAGCTCCCTGCCTGGCGCTTTTGGCTCTGAGATCTCATTCACAACCCTGCTGGGCACGGAGGGAGCCGAGGCCGAGGAATCAATGACCACGCCAATCCCCAGCCATCGCAAACCCGATCGTCTAGCTGTTGCGTGCAAGCAATGCCGGAAGCGCAAGGTCCGATGCGATGCACAGCAGCCGAGATGCAAAAATTGCCATGTGAGAAATGAGGTCTGTGAGACCTCAGATCTCCGGCGGCCAGGCAAGGGACCGGCTGTCCGCCGACACGCAGCTCGGTCAACGGGCTCAAGATCTCAGCAGGACCCTGCCTCACCAATTCCCCCGTCGCCAAGGTCGAATAATGAAGGCCCTAACAATGAAGGCTTGAGCTCTTTCCAGAATACTGGCACCAACCATAGCCAAAGAGAGGTCGAGTCCCCAACGGAGCTTGCATCCTCCGAAGTAAATTCGCAAGGTTTCCATGATACCCCGTCGTTTTCAGCAACAAGGAAACAAATCCGGTCCAGTCGCCCAGTCAAAAATCATATCTCTTGGTTGACTCGCGGATACCAAGCCAGTGCAGCAGCCCAGGTTCAAGAAACTGGATCTGAGCACGCTGAGCAAACACCTAGCTCCGAGGTAACGCCTGACGTGGTGGTAATTACGGATGGCACACCGTATAGGGTGAAGGTATGCATCATCATCTTTGAGTGATCTCAGATGTAGATCAGCTAACATCCAATACCTTCTATAAAGTTTCAAGGCGGGAGTAGCATACAAAGTCTCTTCACATTCGTCGACCTACACTTAGCCATCCATGGCTTTGATCCTGCCAGTTCCTTGTTCAGACATGGAATGCATCAAAGCGAAGAGATTCCGCTATCGCTAGTCCTAAAGCTACCGCCGCTACCTAATCATCAGAAAATAAGGCGGTGTCTTGATGTATTCTTCGACCGGCTCTGGCCATTCTACCCAGTGATCACCCGATCTACTTTCGAGGCAGAGATTGATACCATAATTTCTCAGCAGCCGCAGGAAGTATCCGACCTCCAATTCAGCATCCAACACACACATATACCATGTTTGGTCGCAGTGTACTGCGTGTTATGTATCGGCATCAACGAACTATCAGGCGCAGACTCAGAGCTGAGTATCGAGTATCTAAACGCTGGCTATCAACTCTACGCTCACCTCGTTGCAACCCCTTACTTGCCCAGCGCCCAATCATTATTCCTTCTAGCACTTGCTCTCCGATCATGGGGGAAAGACGGCCAGGCGTGGCATATCGTCGGTCAAGCAATTCGCGTCTCGCAGTCTCTCGGCCTGCATAAGTTAGTCATGAGACACTCGCCGGTCAAGGCGCAAGGAACTCCTTATCAACACACAGATACCATAGGAGAGAGGTTGTGGTGGTCGTGTTACGCCCTGGAAAAGCAGATGCAACTCGAGTGCGGAAGGCCATCGATCATCGACACTGATTTTGATAATATCGCTTCAACCTGGTCACAAAATCTGGCTGCCAGTGACTCTTCACCCTACTTCAAGGCTTGGATTTCACTCGCTGGAATTATGGGTCTCATATCTGACCGAATCTACTCGCATAAGTTTGGCAATGCTGAAGAGATGCTGTCCGAGACTATCAAGCTCGACAAGCATTTATTGGAATGGGAAAGCTCACTGCCCGACAGTCTCAGGCCTCGGGACATATTTCTCGAGCACTTGGATGAGGCGAGCAAAATATGTGCTGGGTTTCTCTCTCAACAGTACTATCATGTAAGAATTCTTATCCTCTTTTCTCTACACAAAAGCCGTGACATGATAGCTGACAATATCCAGGCTCAGATATCCGCCTTACGAGTGTCTCTCATCTTTCCCCAGCATGCGTTCTCCGCGGAGATAAAACGGCACGGCAAAAATCTATCTCAGACACAGAGGTTATTGGCCGGGGCCTCAATATGTGCACAGGCAGCAAGAGCCGTCGCAACGCAAATCCTTCAATTAGCAGACGAGAATGTACGATCCCCCTGCTTGGGCATTTCTCAAACATTCCTGGCTTCGGTCGTACTGGCACTAGTCATTCTCCGGCAACCCAACAGCAGACTGGCTCGGTCCGATGTCGAGTTGCTCACTTCTGCCACAGAGCACATGGAGGCGTGGTATCACCACTGTGGATTTAGTCCAGGCTTCATCCAGGTATTCGTCGAGATGCGGAATCGAGTCGGTTCGGTCTTCCTCAAGACTAGTGCAAAAGCACCTCGGAGGAGCAGCTCCGTCACAACGTCATTGACACGAACACAAGACGTGATCAATCAGGGGTCTGGATTCCCACCACCGATGGCCGGTGGCTATAGCCACACCGGTTCACCTCCGACTCATGGGAGTAATGCGATGTCAGGGATGGGTAACCAGAATACAGGTGATGGATTTGACGACTCGGCACTCAATTTCTTCGGCAACATGGACTTTGAGGAACTATGGAATATGATGGACTCGGATTTCATGTCATATGATACCGAGATCCAAATTATTCCCTCATGATACCCCTTTTCTTGCACATTAGTACAACGTATAGTTTCAATCAATCAACATTTCTTTCATGATTCCACACATCTAAATTGAAATTGTCATTCGGCCTGCTTCCTTGATCCCTGCACGGCTGGTCAAGTCGGCCAGTCAGACACGTGCGAACCGAACCGAGAGCCTAGGATTGGGCCATGCCCGAACCGAGCAGACCCCTCCGGGCCACCAAGCATGTTAGTCGGTTCGAGAAGACCTCCCATGTGCTTTCTTAACGAGAGACTGTTCTATGTACTTAACGTATACTTAAAGTGGCTAAAGGAAGCATGAGCTTGTTAAGCCTTACAAATCACCGCCATCTACCAAGTTGTTCCAATCGACTTGACTTTATCACAGGCCCACTTCCAATTTTCAAACGCTCTACTTTGCTTCGTTAAAATGCCAGGTGCTATTACTATTACTCAGGAGAGTCCTATCGCCTCTCTAAAAGCAGGCAACAGACTCAAAGTCGATGGCACTGACCCAAAATTTGGTGACTGGCGTGACGATCTCATCCGCGATGGATATGCTGTTATCAAGGGTGCGATTCCTCAAGACCGTGCATTGAGTTATGCTGATCGCATGCTTTCTCTTATTGAATCATTGTAAGTAGGAGGACCCTAAACATGATCGATCCACGTATACAGAGCTAAGATCAATCTTCTAGTGGCAAGGGCTACAAACGAGATGACCCTTCTACCGTCCACCCCGACAACCTACCCGTCATCACCGAGAAAGGCATGCTACTGAACTATGGTGCGCCCCATGAAGACTTTGTCTGGGATGTTCGCTCCGAGCCCGGAGTCTATGAAGCCTTCGAGAAGGTATACAACACAAAGGACATTATTGTCTCATTCGATGCCATCAACTACGGGTTTTGGAACCGTAAGAACTTGCCACCTAATAAGCCCTGGCCTCATCAGGACCAGGACCCCGAGAGACCTGGCTTCCGATGCCTTCAGGGTCTCGTGAACCTACTCCCAAATGGGCCCAACGATGGCGGCTTGATCGTCTGCAAGGGTGCCCATCTTATGAGCGAGCAGTTCCACGAGGACATGAAAGACGAGGAACGCATTCCCGCGTGGACCAAAGAGTGGTACGGCTTCACTGATCGGGGCATGGCCTGGCTGAAGGATCACGGCTGTGAGTGGATCAAGGTCGAAGCCGAGCCTGGCGACCTCCTCTTGTGTAAGTGTGCCAAACTCCGGGATCCTAATAGACTTACTGACTGAGTTCCAGGGGACTCCCGTGCACCACATTACAATGTCCCAGCCTCGGGTACGCAGGACCGTCTTGCTATCTACACATGTTACATGCCCGTAGCCGATGCTTCACAGGAGGACTTGGTCCGGAAGAAGGCTGCATTTGAAGGTATGAATAAGAGTCTCCCCAGTATCTCACACATATTTAACCATAATGCAATCTAGACCGTGTCGGAACTACCCACTGGCCCAATGCTCTTCATACTGGCACGAATAGGGCCAAGCGCAACGGAGAGCCTGATTCAATCATTCGAGACAAGCCAATTAACGAGCCTAAACTCAGCGAGAGGGCTTTCAAACTTACTGGGATCCCTTACATCAAGTGATCAGAGGTAATAAAGTGTCATCGTCCCTTAGATTGCTCCCTTGGGTTGAGAGAAATTGTATTAGAGATTCTCGGTCTCTACATAGTATCGTGAATTTGAATATTGAGGAATTTCCATTCAGAATCGTAAGGCTAGTCTGGTTATCATTGTTCACGAGTAGGAAGACGTTGCCGCTGATATCAGGTAGCTTATAATCACGTTCCAACGAGAATGTCCGCAACTGAACAATTCAGCCAAAACATGTCGTCAACGTTGAAGTCTATGCCTTCGAGATCAACTAGGGAGGAACTGAATGGCCCAGTATCCCCAAATTGCGTAGCCTCACTCTGTGAGGATACCTCAGGTGCCGCAATAGATGAGTCCGGGTTGGATGCCTCCTTTTGAGTTAGCCGCACAATAATCTGGCACTGCCCTTGTATTTTTTCCAAGAGAATTTCCAATGCCGCGATACATCGCTCCGCTGACTCTCCAACTTTTGCGTACGCTTTGAGTATTTCAATTGCTCTGTGCCATGAGGAGTTGGCAGGCCATGGTGTGCAAATCTGTGTGTCCGAGTCGCTCGGCATGATTCGCTCGGCGAGTAGCACTGTAGCGGCGGTATATACGACTGTGGAAGAGAAACTTTGTCAGTAGGTTTTGATGCGTGTAATATGGACATGGCTACACACATAATACAGCCAGCCACCAAGCAGGTACGGGCCCAGTTACAGTCTCTCGGTCAAGGTGTGAATATATCATATCAATGATCTCATGTGCTGCCTCGAAACAAAGAGTTGAGCATCGATCAACAAGACACTCGTTCAGGCTTGAATCGGATACGGTGTTCCATTTTGGTCTTGCCTGCTTCAAGCAGAACTCTGATAAGATGGGGCGAAGTATCACGATCCGAGCATAGAGGTATCTTGCACATTTGGAATTAGGTTCAATACTTGGTTACCAGAATCAGAGCCAAACTCACCTCGCCCGCAATACAATTCGCTGCCGTTGGAAAATAAATGCATCTGAACTGGACGTGGGCACATATCGCAATCTATCTGGTACGGAACGAGACCACTGTACCAGGCGGTCGTCCAGCTGAAGAACAGATACAATGGTGTGGCTCGTTTTTGTTGACTTGTCCGGTGAGTTCATGTAAAGCTCAAGAAGACAGTCGTTGACGATTTTATAAAGTTCCAAAGTTTTGATAAAGAATGCAACGGCTGTCGTTTTCCCGTCAGGACGTATCGCGCTTGGTTCGACTTGAGAATCAAGTAGATCGTCATCAATCATTGACGGTAAGAACTTCATGTTGCATTGCCAGTCCGCAATCATACTAGGTCGGCCAAATGTCATAGATAAAGAGCTGGAGTTTTTTATTAGAACGGCTCAAAACCTGCCAGAAAGAACTGAACCTACCGATCCATATATACGCAACCAAACCATACTCTTCTAGCCATTTCCCCATCCCTCCGAGTAGTACTTGTCCTTGGTGACGGGTGAAGATGAAGACCAAGACTCTGTGCCATTCTGATAGCTGAACCCACAGTCATCCAGCACTGATGTGACTCAGATGTGGTCTGAAGATACAGTCCCATTAGGATAAGACACTGAACTCCTTCTACTGATGCGCTATCGTGCAATCGAGGGTCGAATAATTCGTGAGCCCGCTTCCAAAACGCTCGCCCAGTCTCCCTTCTCTTGCGCGGCTGGATCATACCCGAGAATTGACTACCCAAAGCGAATGTTAAGTTCAACATGCAATAAAAGATGCGTTCAGGAATAGGCAGTGGTTGGCCAAGCCAAACGTATCTGTACGCTGCCTGGAATAACACCCAATCATGCATTGGGACAATGACCCATACAAGGCCATAGTAGTTCTCTAGGAGGTCATCCGCAAACTCTCTCCTGGGTAGAGTGTAATCCAAGGGATTCTCGTCTGGATCATCTTGAGGCGGCTGCGTCCCCTTTCCACGGGACGGCCAGACACTGTTGAAACCGGGAGCCATTGGTTGGGCCCGGCCAAGCCGAGCGTCGATCGCGGAATTAATCTGCGAGGTGAATGAGGATGCGCTGCTCCCACCGAAGAATTCTTCATTTTTAGCCAAGTTGCTTAGATTAGCTCTCCCCAGTGTGGTGTTTTCTTGGTGTGATACTTCGGGACGAGGAAGTAAAGCTCTGGCCTTGGAACGAGACGGCTGGCCTCGATTGTAGACACACCTCGGCTCTTTCCTACGTAAACAGGAACCACAGTCTAGACAGCCATAATAGTTAGTATAGATTTCTATCCCTGCATAAATTGGTCCATTCAAACGTACAGGGTTGATTTCCATCACACTTGATCTTCTTTTGCCGGCAGTTACTACAAGCGGCAGATATCCTCGCACGAGGCATTGCGTAATGAAATTCGACGTTGGCCAATGAGACAGACTGGAAATGGCTATGACCGGCGGTTTCGTCCTATGGGAACCGGGTGAAATAGTCAACGGATGCGGTGTCTCGGCATGTTACCCATTGAACGGAGGAGGAGGAAGTTGCAGAGAATCTTTTAGCCGAGTTGTCGTGGGAGTAATCCGACTGATGCTCGATATGATTGGCTGGCTCTCCGAAACTTCCTCGGAAACCCACTCTCGGCCGGAACGACGCCAAATCAGAGCTGAGCTTATTCCGTTCATCTCCAGCTAGATTTGACTTCAACATCGGGTGTCTTTTTGCTCTACCAATCGGGAGTTGAATGAAATGCATTAATCATGCCATCTTCCACATTTATCCTGTAAAGATCAAGGTATGGGTGCATAAGAACAAGCTTGTCCACCATAAAAGGGAATGGGTCTTCATTTCCAACATGATCCTGCCTTCCCAGTTGCTCCATTACTCTCTACAATTATTCTACAGATAACACTATGTATATTCCGGCGGTTCACTCGGAGGAGGACACGAAGGTGTTACAGCAGTTCATCAAGGAGACAACTTTGGGGCTTCTTACAACCGCCATCCCATCCGAAACTTTTTCTCTTATACAATCGAGTCACATTCCCTTTATTTTGGACGTGCCAGAAAATGCCGGTTCTACTGAATTGGGCACTCTCAGGGGCCATATTGCTCGCCAGAACCCCCAGGCCAAGGCGATGATCACTTCTGTATCCCCCGGATCAAGCAAGGGGCCTGCCTTGAGCTTAGAGGAAGAGGTCTTGGTGGTATTCACTTCTCCTGTCAACCACTATGTGACGCCGAAATACTATGTGGAGACGAAACCCACGACGGCCAAAGTTGTGCCAACCTGGAACTACTCAGCAGTTCAGGTGTATGGCAAAGCTAAGATATACCTTGACACTACCTCAGAAGAGACATCAAGCTTTCTGCAGCAGCAAATCAGTGACCTGTCTGAGCATACAGAGACATCCATCATGGGTTACGGCTCCCCCGATAAGCCAGGCCCTTGGAAGGTCACTGATGCACCAGAGCGTTACATTGATGTGATGAAGAAAGCTATCATGGGAATTGAAATTACCATTGAGCGTTTGGAGGGCAAGAACAAGATGAGCCAGGAGATGAAGAAGGGCGATCGGGATGGGGTTGTGCGTGGATTTGCGAACATGGGTACAGAACTGGGACGAGAAATTTCCACTCTTGTGAAAGTCAAGAGTGACTTGAAGGAAAATTCAAGTTCATAACCACATATCTTGTTTATCGAGTAAGATATATGTTGAGCTTTTTTCTACAATATGTTGAAAAGAATCACTTTACTATCATTCAGCCGCCCAGAATCTGTTTTTATGGTGATTGAGAGTCAGCCTAAATACTATGTAGTGACCAGTCCCTAAGAGCGTCTTGACTTTTCAAGTAACAAATTGGGCTATATAGCAGCTTAGTCTTTTTCAAGCATCGAGGCTTCATAAATCTTCTTGCGACTTAAACTATCTTCCATAAAGGGCTCAGTTGGTGCAAGAAGCAACCAACGGCTTGACACAAGTTAAACCAGCAAAAAGCTCACTATGCAAGCCCGTTTGACTTTGCATTACGCCAAAACCGTCTATGTATAAATGGAACTAAACCGAAGATAAATAAAGTATGTGACGTAAGAACATCAACTCTATGCTAGCTAGAAATTAAGGCAGTTGCCGTATTTTAAAAATTAAATTCAACCCAATAGAGAAGACCTCTGCAATTGTAACTACAGACTACCACAGTTGACAACCACTTCCTATCTATCAGATGATAACACGTCAAAGTGGTGGCTTCGTTTATTAGCGGAGATTTCGGCTTTTTTCTCGCTTTTTTCTCAGTCAGCTCCAATTGCGGGGTATCTCGAGTCGGCTATGGAAGGCCACGGAGCTTCTCCCTCAGCCTGACACATCACGATGAGGCTTATCAATTCTACTACCTTCGAGGTTGCCGAGTTCTTTGGGGATGAGATTCCGCTTTATGCGATCTTGTCTCATACATGGGGCTATGGCGAGGTTGAGCTCCGTGACGTGTTAGCAGGATCCTTCCACGACCGCGGGGGCTTTTTCAAACTGCAGGGCTGCTGCGCTCAGGCAGCCAATGATGATCTCGCTTGGGTCTGGATCGATACGTGCTGCATTGATAAGTCATCGAGCGCCGAGCTGTCGGAAGCCATCAACTCCATGTACACATGGTACCAGAACGCAGAGGTCTGCTACGTGTACCTATTTGACGTTCCACCTCTCGATCCTTTCTTGGACAAGCACAAATTCCAGAAAGCTCGGTGGTTTACCAGAGGCTGGTGTCTCCAAGAGCTGATTGCTCCTCGGGAAGTCGAGTTTTATGCAGACGATTGGTCTGAACTGGGAACGAAGTGGACTTTACAAGCCCCAATATCCGAAATCACTTCGATCCCAGCCTCAGTCCTGCTTCACCAGAAACAACCAGCGCAGTTTCCTGTTGCTCAGAGAATGTCATGGGCATCCAGGCGCTCTACAAAGCGAGAGGAAGATATGGCATACTGCCTCTTAGGCATGTTTGATATCAATATGCCTTTACTATATGGGGAGGGTAAAAAAGCCTTCATTCGACTCCAGCAGGAGATTTTGAAACGCGAAGTAGACTACAGCATCTTTCTCTGGCGGTCAACTGCTCTTCACGGTGCCACGGGTCTTCTTTGTGATACACCGCACTGCTTTCCAGTCGAAGGCGTGCCTATTATATCTGGAGGATTATGTAAATATTCCGAAATATCTGCATCCGATCTCCCTCACAAGTCGGGGTCAGAGCGTATCAATCTTCCACAAGTCACGCCGCGAGGTCTTGAGATGACGCTATATACAAGAGCATACCAAGCCAACACCCTGCTAGCTTGGATCTATCTAACCTGCAAAGGAGGTTTGATTTTCCTCGTCTTGAACAAGAAGAGCCTCGATCACAAGCACTACCGAACTCGAGTCGGCTACGTCGAGGTTATGGGAATGGGCCGAGATCCAACGGGCTACATCACAAGTCTAAGCGACTACAAATATATCACCACCGCGATATTCACGGAGCTGGTCATTCCTCAAATTGAAGTCCAGACACTATACTTTAGGGTATGGCTTCAATCCAAGACCAATGAAGAACTGTCTATTGCTGAGATATATCCACCTGGATATGACTTGGATTTTCGCGATGGTGTATTTAGTACTGAATTAAACCCCGTTGACTGTCCTGATAATTTCTTCCTTCTGGTTTCCGTTAAGGATACCCCGGAAAAGTTCATTGTCGCATTCAACCTTTTTCACAGTACTTGGGCTTATAAGATCCGCAAACACACGTCAGACGCGAATCTAGAATCAGCAGCAAAGGAAAGTTGGGCTGGGGCTGTTGAGGATGACACTGATAGAGCCATATCTCGCCTCTCAAGTGGTAGCTATATCATAGTTTCAGCCAAGACAAGAGCGCGCTCTAGTCGAGCGTACTTATATGTAACGCTCATCCCTGCAGCATTTGCAACAGACATCTCGCTTCCAAGGACAATCGTCCCCCGAATTCGGCAACCTAACTAGACTCAGAAATGGTGTATTGAATAGCTAATGTCGCTGATTCACACCCAAGGCAAGTTGTGCAAAGTCCTTAAAAATATTTTAAGCTCAACAGATAGTTGTTTTTAATTACACAACCTCATATTTAATACCCAAGAAATAGTTCACAAAAGTAACTAGACGGGGACCCTACCCTGAAAACCAGTTGCCCTGCACACCGCAACGACAGCCAACCACCACAAGGACCGAAGTCTTCAATACCACACTTCATTTGTCACGAGCATCAAGGTCACTACATGGAATAATCAGAACTCTTGTGAAATAAGTCCCACTAACTAAAGTCTACAAGAAATAAGTCTGCGAGAATAAAAAGAATCTGGCCAGATCTATTGGGTCTAAGGCAACAAAACAAAGGTAATAACTAGACCATCTATTCAAATTTTCCACAACCCTTTAAAGCATGAAGCGAGCCCTAGGTAGCCTCAGCATTCTTACCTGCGTATTCTCAGGGAGAATCTGTAGGTTGAGCCAAAAGTTTCTTTTTAATGAAAAACCCACTCATAAACGTTGCACCCGCAACAGCGGTGTAAAATGACCACATTATATGCAACGCCTGTATGTATGTCTCCTTGTTCACTGTCGAGTCTGTATTTCCCTCTTTCAGAGTAATACTTCCACTGCCGATAGTTCGCTGAATCAGGACTGTTCCAATGACAATGGAAATGGAACTGAAAAGACTTCGAAGAAAGTTGAAAGCTGCCATAGCCGCTGCTGTATCTCGCTGGCGCAGATGGTTTTGCAACGCAATCATAGGGCTTTGAAACATTGTTCCTGCTCCACTCCCAGCAAGTATCTGAAATATGATAATCTTGGGCCAGTTTCTTGTTTCATCCAACATAATAAAGAGGCCGTTTCCCAAACACATCAATGCTGATCCAAGAATAATCATTATGTCGTATCTTCCCGTCCTTCTGATTATATACCCTGCACTCATTGTCATAGCTGAAAGTGGAAGAATCAGCGCAAACAAGGTTATTCCAGAGAACAGTGGCTTCATATCCAAGATGATCTGAAAATACAAGGGCAAGAAGAAATCGAAGGAGATGAAGACAAACGAATGTAGGCATGCAACAACAAAAGCAGCAATGTTGGTTCTCTTCTGGAATATCCTGAAGGGGATGGTGGGCGAGGTGGCAAATTTAGCTTCCCAGACCACGAACAAGACCAAAAGTAACGCCCCAAAGATTATAAGACAGATCACCTTAGGTGACGTCCAGGGAGAAAGGCCACCGGAGCCGATTTCTAGTCCATATAGGAAGGAGATAGTTCCCCCAATGACCAAGATGAAGCCTATCCAATCGATATCCCGAATCCCTTGGGCGAACTGGCTCTTTTGAGTTTCAACTTTGAGGAAGAAGAAGAGGACAACAAGTGCTATTCCATCTAGAGGAAGATTTATATAAACTTTGGAACTAGTTAGTTTCAATCAGATAAATTTCAGCTCGGAAAGGGGGTAACTTACAGCACCACCGCCATCCTATCGACTGGGTGAATATTCCACCCAAGAGGGGTCCAATTGCACTTGAAACGCCCCAAACAGCGCCAGTCATGCCATAATACTTAGCACGATCTTCCAAACTAAATATATCGCCAATAACGATTGTCACGAGGACCAGAGAGCCTCCGCCCCCTAGACCTTGGATCACACGCCCCCCAATTAGCATATTGCTCGATGATGCGAGCGCACAGACAAGGCTCCCAGCCATGAAAGTGGCGGCTGCGACCATGATGGTACTTTTCCGGCCAAATATGTCGGACGCCTTGCTCCATATGAGCATTGAAGCTGTATTTGCAAGGTTGTAGCCTCCACCAATCCAAGCATATTGCTGAGTTGTGGTGCCCAAGCTTTTGGCGATACTTGGCAGAGCGGTGGAAACAATCGTAATGTCTAAAGCTCCGAGGAACAGCGTAAGGCAGAGAGAGAACATCACGAGTCGCCGCTGCCAACGCTTCATCACCGGTGGGGAGAAAGACGTGTTTGTTGATGGTGATCGAAGTCTTTCATCGTGGCCAGCTTCCTTGGATGATTCGTCGTGTCGTGGCTTCTCCATCGTCTGGGCAGCTGTGTTCGAGCTCGTACTGCTGGCTGACATGATTCTTCAGCAAATGTTCAATCCGAAGCCTATCATGAATGGAAGCAGAGAATACTTTAGAATTCTAGCAAGCTATATCTTAATATTATGACTACATTCTGGGAGATTTCTTTTGGATTTGCGTGGACATCGGTTCGGTGTCGGTTCGGGCCCACCCCCTACATCCTGCCACTCCTATGTACTAATTTCAATGTTGTCCGATCAGTGACAAAGGTCACAGCAGATATATAGTAAAACAGTTATTAAAATGACACAGATGTAATGAAGCAATTTTGGTACTGTACGTGGTGAAATAGGTACCTGTATGGTTTTCTTCCGTCTCTTCAACATTCAACACGCCTTATCCGTTCAGCTTAAGTGCTGAATAGACATACTACCAAGTCCCGTTGAAGGTGGAGCAATCACTTGGAAAGCCGTCCAACTTCAGTCCTGATAAAGGGGATACTTATGGTGCAATTGATACAAAAAAGAATCTCCCCTCATGCCACCATAACTCAACTCGCCCCTCGTCTCCAGCTGTATATACAGGTCGTGTTTTCTTCAAGATCGATTGCTAAAATAGCTTGGAGATGTTGTATTTTTGTTCTCTTTCTCTTCTGTGTTGGTCTTAAACAAAATTATCGGTTTGGTTGGTGGGCGACAAGTGCTCGGCGGTTCGGTATGAAAGTCTTGCCAGGCTGTGAAAATTGTTCTACCCAAGTGCATAGAGATGGTGTGCGACGGTTGCATCTTCAATCCTTAAGTCATGTGACTGCAAAAGGATTCTTTCAGCGATGATCAAAGGTTGCGTACTTCACTGGACACAAAACCTGATCGTTTGTTCATTCACTTGAAATTAAGGCCATAGGAAGAAACATATAAACCCCCAGAGGCATCTTACTTCAATTTCTCACATTATTAGATGCATGATATCATTGGTTGGGCAACAAAAACATCCCATTTCTCGGTTCGGCTCGGGAGGAGAACCCGGGCGGAGGTCCATTTACCGACACCATCCGGGTCGAGAATGATCAAAGCAGAAACAGCACGTTGAAACTTGAGAGCATTGAGAAGATCAATCCTTGAAAGATGCAATGGCAAAGACTATGTAACGCTATGTAAGTAAAATCAAGTACTCTACGCTTTCGCTTTTGAACGCTATGCAGCCCTAGTTAGTTGCTTTCTCTACGATGGTCAGCAACGTGCATTGTGATAATTCCAGTGATATGCATCCAAAAGTCCATAAAAATGCAGGCCCGCCCCAATGACCACAAAACAATGAAATATCTGGTGGGAAGTTCCCCAGATGTGGAACCTCTCAGGCCATCTCGACTCCGGAAAGTGCGTCTACCCTCATCAGCAGGGACGTTCTGCAAACTGCGAGAGAAGATCAACGATAAGGGGGAGCAGGAGCAGCATACCGCATAAAAGTAGACACCAGATACCATTGCAACACCTTCTGCGTAGTAAAACCGCAATCCAGTTTGTTTGTCCAGCTGCCAGTATGGGAACATGGTAGCCGCATGGATGATGGGCGCGAGAGCAGAGAAGCCGGTGGCAACCAGAGTGAGCAGCCGGAGAAGACGCCATTTGGTACTATCCAGATCGGTAAGAACATTAACGGCCCCGGAGAAGGTTCCAAGTACTACGATCTAGAGCGGCGTGGGGATTAGCATACCAGAAGGGGGCGTCAGGTTAGCAAAAGTGAAGAGTTGGAGCACAAACCATGACCCAATAGGTCTTTTGCAGTGTCGGCTCACAGTAAAAGCCCATGTAAGATCCCGATACCACGGAACCGATGATCTGGAACACGATTGCAATGAGGTCTAGCCTGACCCAAGCTATGGCATATCCTTCGGAATGGCACACAAGCGTGTGATACACGGAGCTTATGCCAAAGCAGAAGATGGTGGTTGTGAGATAAATTTGGAAGATGACTTCATCCTGCCAAATAGCCTTTGGGTAGTTCGATGAGAAGAAGGCGTGGAAGAAGAAGCTTGCGGCCAGCGAGACTAATGCAGGGACCAGGTGGGTGTAAATGTTAACAGTCTCGTTGTGGAGATACGCGAGACTCTGTACGCAGCGGGAGACGGACTGGGTGACAGGCCGGTAGCCGGAACGAACGAAACTGTTGTTGGAGTACCAGGAGGGGATTTCGGTGACGGATAGGAGACGAGGAGGGTAGGAGTCAAAATAATGTCTCATTCCGTGCTTTCCGGCATTCATTGAGGAGGTACCGGGCACACGGCGTCGAACAGTCATAATTGGAAGCAGATGAAGACAAGAGTGTGGAATAAGCACAGAACGCTTGTCATGTCAAAATATACCGGGCCAAAGAGGGATGTGCGGGATTAGTATGTACTCAAGAGTATTATGTGATGATTCAAGTGAGGGGATGGCCTCGTGGGCAGATGATGAGAGGAAGCGGAGCTGATGCATTGGCGCTCTTAGCGCTCAATGGCTGAACGGATCTCTTAGTGGAGGTTTGTTTGAATGATTACATCAAATAGTTGCCGTCACTGGTTCATGTAGCACCGAGGTGGTATCAGGACCAAATCAAGAGTTACGGGTCAGGTCGAATCAGCTATTGGGTGGATTCGCTTCTCTTATCTCGTTGTCTTTCCCCTCGTTGTTCTCGTCACTTGAGTCTTTCGACATTCCTCTCTGGTCTCACTTACAAGTCACGTGAGGGGTTACGTAGTCTCAGGCCAAGTTGCTGAGATAAGCATGCATGCAGTCATGCCTTGTTGACGCAGGAAAAAGAAAGTTCATTCGGTCGCTCAGCAACCCGATCGCAGCGATGAGACATGGCGGTGACTCTGGTGAGAGGTTCTGTGGGCGCGAGCGGAAAGAGTCTGAAATCGGAAGCAATTGAAGTCTCAGAACACCAAATCCGAAAAAGGCACACTTCTGTTCAGTTAGTAGAACTCCCGCGTGCGGAGGACGCCAAATGAAATTAGAGACGACAGGGGCCGAGCCCGCCACGAATACCAGGTCAGACAGCAATGCAGGTAAGATGACCGGAGGTTCAATTCACGTTGGGGATAAGCGCACGATGAAGGCAATTGAACCTTTGAGGCTAAATACGTTTTTCATTGGAGGCCCTGTGGTGGACCTAGTGCTATGTAGTAATCGACCCCAATCCTCTCCTGTGTATTATCATGACAAGTGCTTGTCTCATTATTAAGTGTATCCCAAGTTCCCAGTATTATTCTTCCGTGTCCATGTCGTATCCGTATGTGTCAATCCCATTTACAGAGCAAGAGCAGCGGCAAGCAGGGCAACACCAGCGCCGATCATAGGCTTGGCAACACCGCCGCCAACATCGCTGGTAGTGGAAGCTGAGGCACTGGCGGTGGAAGAGCCAGTAGAAGAACCGGAGGAGGAACCGGAGGCGGATTCGCTTTCGGTGGCGGTGGCGGACTCGGAGCCGGAAGCAGAGCCAGTAGCACTGGCGCTGGTGACGCCGCTGGTGACGGAGTCAGAGCCGCTGGCAGAAGAGGCAGCAGAGCCAGTCGAGGAGCCGATGGGGGCGGTTCCAGAGGCGGAGGCAGAGCCAGAAACTGAGCCACTGGCGGGAGCGGAGCCAGATGCAGAGGCTGAACCGGAGGCTGAGCCAGAGGCAGACTGGGAAACACCGTTGGAAACGGATGGGAGGGGGACGACACTGGTCTGCAGGGTGTTCTGGCCAGGCCAGGACAGAGAGATGCCGTCCCAAGAGGTGATCAGGATAGGCTGAGCAGGAATTGAGGTGACAACAGCAGGTTGGGAGGTGACGACAGCAGGCTGCGAGGTGACGAGAGCGGGCTGCGAGGTCTCCTGGGCACTGACAATGCCAGCGGCAGCAAGGGCATAGATGGCGGTCTTCATATCGACGGTTATGGGGGGCTTTTGCGTCTTGTTGGAGGAGAGGCTTGTCTGCTGGTTGAGTTGAGCGGGATGAAGAAGACCGAAGAGCGGAATGCGCAAGGGGGGATTTAAATCTGACGGCGAAGAGCTGTTTTAATACTGCAGACGGGCATGGCTGAGGCGGGCGCTGGGGGCCCTTTCGTGTTATTGTGTCTCAGTGCTTGGACCTATCATCCTGCACGTCCTGCTCGTTGCTTGGCGTGACGTGGATTCACTCCACCCACCAACATCAGGATCAGCAGCCAAGCCAGGCACAGCAGCAGCACAAGTGCGCCGGCCTAGCCACCAACTCGGCTGAGCGTCCTGTACTCACCTCTTTCCAGTTACTCACGTCCTTGCATCCACCGCCGATCAACTACTTGGACGAGTTGGCGAGTGCACAATACGATACCAGCAGCAGCGGACCGGCTGCCTGGTGGTTCGTATTGCTGGCAATCGGCACCCAAATCCAGTACCGTGACTGTTGGTACAAGAATAGATGTCGTATTACACCATACCAGCATGGGGTACTCCTCTCAGACCTGGGGTCAGTCACATCATAACCAGGGCAGAGCAAGGCAGCGCGAGTTCAACAAGCAGACCCCTGGCTACCTGAACAAGGACGTGTCTTGGCTAGAACTAGTTAAGCCGAACTGCTTTTCACCGCACGCACGTACCACGTATCACACAGTGGAGATTGCGACCTGAGAGAGCTGAGAGAAAATATTCTGTATCGCGGAATGCAGTGCGGCGGCGAGGGCCACGCACAATGTCTAATTATGGATATGCACGGGGGAAGTCTGTTTGAGCCGGTTACATACTAACATGCTTTAGGCCGAAAGTATGTCAGGAGGTATGCAGTAATCTAAGGAGCAGTGCACAGTGAGCTACAGGCATGTCTCTGGTGTGTGTGCCAGCTCGGAAATTACCCCCAACGTACTGTGTGAGCTGCAACTCTCCCCACCTCCGTACATCGCAGACAGCACGCACCTCGTATTATTGCCGCCGGCCCGTCAATACCACCTTCATGCGGAGGCGGCAGTGAGCCTTACCCTGGTGCCACTTGGGTGCCATTGGCTAGCCCAGGGAGCGCCCTACAAGGATTGAGGAGATTGTTGCCAACTACGACAGCACCATATGAAATGGCGAAGTTGCCAGGGTAATGGTGCAAGGTGGTACAATTCATCCGCGAGGAGCACTCCTCCTCCAGGCTCTGTCCTTGGTTGTGTTTTAACTGGGATCGGTCAAGCGTACGTTTATCTTCAAAACCCCAGCTCCTACAACGTCATTGCGGCATGGGGTAGAAGCAGGCTGCTACAACAAATGCCGTTATTTCCCATGGTTCGTTTTCCCCCTTTTCAATGGTGCTGCTGATGGCGGTGCGGGATGTCTGATAGTTGACCAGCGTCAAGACTGATGGCTCGCGCGTTCCAAATCTTGCACCAAAGTCCAAAATTTATTGGTGAGGAGCAAAATATCCTCAGGCGCTCTGCGCGAAAACTGACCCAAGTTCTTCCACCATGGAGGCCTCGCACTGACCACAGCCTGAAATAATTGGGCTCTCCTAATCCGGAGCATTATATCCTTATTTCCGCCTTGACACTTCCCCTGGCCGTGCCCTCGGGTTAAGATTTTTCCGGGTCCGGCTTACTTGTATCCCAATCACGTACCCTAAACCATTTCTCAGAGCACAAGAAAATCATCCTGAGTGCTCCCACTGCCTTGTTGATTGGTATGAATAAATTAAAAGCCAAACGCACTCTCTATAGTTCATTGCCATAGTTTCATAGCATGGCGTTGGTCTAGCTTCGTGACTCGCTCAACTCGTGTCAGAGTGTCGTTTGATGGTCGAGCATCACATGGATTCACCATTAAATATACCATGAGTGAAGCAGAACACCGTGCCCAAGTGTGTTTAATTAAGAAATGCCTAATAACAACAATACCATGTAGCTCCAACCCTTCCAGCAAGGGGTTTCCGCTCATGCAATGCAGGTTCAAAGATTGATGGATTGTAGAGATCCATGACTCATGGTTCATGAGTCAAAGGCGCTACTCCGAATCGCGTCCAAATAGATTTCCCTAATGGGAAAAAATGCTCCGTGATCGTTAACTTTCCCAAACCTATGTGAGTCAGTCGTTGGTTGGTCTTGGGCTACATGAGATCGCAATCATTGATTACTAATCCCATCACGCTGCGATCGTTCCTTCGTCACGCCTAAATCCTTTATCATGCGTCGATGTGGATCGCTGAGTGAATCGGCCATTCGTCGCCGAGTTTTGCCCCTGATGACTGGATATTTCCGAAGCGTCGTGATAGGACACAATCCGGAGCTTTATCCGAGCTCGCTCGCTATGTGTGGAGCTACTGAAAGAAGAGAGCAGTATTTGAAAGTCCTATATCTGATCCCCACTCGCACGCCATCGGTGAATTTTTCAGAATAGAGACAGAGCTACCAACTTTTTCCTTCTCGTTGGGCCTTGCTTCGAGTTGCAAGTTGCACCGGCAATGCAGTCCTACCTCCAAAACAAGCGCCTCGGCCGTTTGGTGGAGGGTTATCTTCAACAGGCCCAGGAAGAAGTTGACCGGCAGCAGGAGGCACCGGGTTTGGAAAAAGGGGAACAAGCGAGAAGCGATGCCAAGGTGTCGGCTGCCAGCATCCAGGCACCAAATGACAGTGATGAGGGCCGTCCTGGTCAAAAAGGACTTCCCATTCAGTCGTCCCTGGTTAGGGAACTGCGTGGTGTAGTAGAGCAAGCACGGCCGTTGGCAGATGGGTCAACCGAGCAAATATTGCTGGTAGATTGGGAGGGGCCTGACGACCCAATGTGTGCTCGGAATTGGAGTGTAAGCAAGCGTGCTTTGGCTACGGCTCAGATCTCGCTCATCGGATTTGCTGTTGGAGCGACTTCTGGGATCGATTCGACTATTATCCCACAAGCTGCAAAGGAATTCGGTGTGAGCCAGGTTGTGGAATCTGTTGCTATAGGTATGTTCTCATCTGTGTGACCCCTTCTAAAGCTTATTTGCTGACATGATCTATGAAACCAAAGGGGTATATTTGATAGGGATTGGCACTGGCTCGCTTGTCGCCGGACCTTTCTCTGAAACGTTCGGGAGGAACGCTGTATACGTTGTGTCGATGGTTGTTTTCATGTGTTGGATCTTAGGCACAGCTCTGGCTCCTAACATTGCCGCCCAGATCGTTTTCCGATTTCTCGCCGGGTGCTCCTCGTCTACTCCGATGGTTTGCTCTGGAGGATCCGTCGCCGATATGTGGAACAGCTTGGAGAAGACTTGGAGCTTCCCATACTACACAACGCTTTCGTTTGTGGGGCCGATGGTGGGATCAATCATGGGGGCATACATCGGACCATCTTCTCATATCTTGAGCTGGCGTTGGGCTGACTGGGTGATTCTCATCCTCTCAGGCCTCGTTCTCATCTCTGTCGTGCTGATAATGCCTGAAACCTATGGCCCATTGATTTTAGAGTGGAAGGCTGCCCACTACCGTCGAATTACAGGAGACTCGCGTTTCCGCTCTGAGCATGAGATTGAAGACTCAACTTTGTTCAGTCGTTTGAGAGTGAGCATGACCAGACCGTTTCTCATGTTAACGGAACCAATCATTCTGGCCATGACGATGTACCTATCAGTTCTCTACATTGTGCTCTTCACGTTTTTGGTGGGGTGGCCATACATTTTTGAACACACCTATGGTATTGATCAAGGTTTGGCACATATCATCTTCATCTCCATGATGATAGGGACTGTGAGTCCCGCACTTTTAGTCCCATTCGTTTACAAGAAGACAGCGAAGGTTATAAGACAAGCTCAATCACAGGCTGAAGGTGGAGATAAAAATGCGAGATTCCACCCCGAGATTCGTTTGTGGTACGGCATGCTCGGTCCTGCAGTGGCTGTCCCAGTCTCCTTATTTTGGATGGGTTGGACCAGCTATTCCCACATCAGTATCTGGTCACCAATCATAGCATCCGGCTTTTTCGGGTTTGGCGTCACGGGAATCTTCATTTGCGCATACATGTACATCATTGACTCTTATGAGAGTTTCTCCGCCTCGGCGCTCACTTTTGTGGCATTGACTCGATATGTCATTGCTGGGGGGATGACTGTAGTCGGCATCCCATTTTACGAAAGGATGGGCACGCACTACACGCTGACGATTCTGGGTTCAATTTCAGTCCTCCTCATGCCTATTCCCTATTTACTATACTTCTTTGGGCACCGTTTGAGAGAGAAGAGTAAGTACGCGGTTGCGTTGGACTGATCAAGCTTACCGAGCGTAAATGAGGACCAAGATGCTCTGGCGGCTACGCCCACTGTCGGCCTAAACTAAAAGGATTGCTTCAACACCCTGGTTTTGGCCTTATTAAGTAATGAAGGAGATGCTCATATGTCTGCCGGGCCCGGGGCTTGGAAGGCGTTGAGGAAATATTCGTTATATACGCAGTATCAAAATATTCCATAATCTCCAACAGATATAAAGACTATCTCAAAAGGAACCATTTACTTCCCTACTGATATAATTGTGCAAGTACACCGAATTCAGCCAAGACTCCCAGGTTGGAGGCCATTAGTAGCGTGCTGTGGAGAAGTGTCTAACAATGCTGATCCCTTCTGATGCCAGCCTGAGAAACGTTTATTAGCGAACGGCCGGCTCCAGCCTTGTATTGATCCCGCGTGATCCGCCAGATGGAATGACCTGGTAGGGCTATTGGTAGAGATGGCTTTGGGTTTCCACCGGAAGTTAAAAGTAGTTATCCTATGGAATTCAATCCAATAAATCTACGGATAACATTCGCCCCATGGCTGTGAGAGATGGCAGTCGTGAGAAATCCCCAGTACTAGCACGGTAAATGCCCAGGAGAGAATGCTCAGCGACAACCCCTTATCATTCATGCTCACTAGAGTGTCCATCTACTAGTCGCAACATTAGCCAAAGCTATCCAACCTAGGGATT